TTTACCAGCTCGTGCCTGCAATGCGCAGCTACTTACCCCCCCCCCCCCCCCAAATCATCGGTGAACGAAACTGCGGCAGCTGCAACCACTGTACGACGAGTACGCGGTTATTACAGCTGATAATGATGTTGATGATATCGATGGTAATATAATCAATCACCTTTTGCCGGACCTTCATGGCCTTCATCCGTAGTTGAGCGTCATCAGGTTGAGCACCAGTTTCCAATACTGCTGTCTGTCCATTCGTTATTACAGCTGATAATGATGTTGATGATATCGATGGTAATATTCCCAATCACCTTTTGCCGGACCTTCATGGCCTTCATCCGTAGTTGAGCGTCATCAGGTTGAGCACCAGTTTCCAATACTGCTGTTGTGCTGTCCATTCTCTGCAGAAATTTATCTGCATGGATAGTCGGCTGCTAACACGGTTCTGGGCTCATTACCAGAATTGTTCGATCCACTGAGAGTAAAGCTTCACTCATTTTCCATTAATATTCATCAGTTGGCATGGCCTTCATCGCCTCACGTGATTGAAATCACAGTGCTAGGGAATCGCCACCTATAAGTTCTCGCTACTTGGTTAACGTATGAGTAAAAAGGGGAGTGAACCCCTCGAATAGTTGAACTTTACATTGCGATAGCTGGTGACGGTTGACAAGAAACTGCCCGAAATAAGTGGTTGTTCGCGCGAACCCTGAACCACATGTTTGTGAAATTAATAGTTCGGTTAATAAATGCACAGTTGGCCGGCATCCGCTACAGAATTGCCTGACAGCAGCCGATGGATAATTGAACCCCTGCGCATTAATGTCTTTATACAGGCGGTTCGCATAGATCTTGATGGATTGCTGCGTGTGCACTTGTGAACATTAGATTCATAATGAGATAATGCTTATAATTATAGTATATGACAACGCACTGATGATGTCACCACGAGTAATGATGGAACATTTGCAATCAAATCGTCCAGCTCAGTCAACACACAACGACCATAGTGTACAATATAATAATATAATATAATATAATATGGTTGTGATATAGTGCATTCGTAATCAGTGTAATGTGAACGTGATATAATGTAGTGCAAAAACATAATAGTGTCATGTAAGCCAGTATACTGTGACACATCACAATTTTTTATATTATTAGATAATACGGTTTGGGGTCTCCCACCCGGGGGCCACTCACTCTTAACGATTGTTCAGTTTCACTAGTCTTATTCAGGTAGAGGGGCAACATCCAAAGGAAAACCGTCCAACGAACAGATATCTTGCCTACATATATAACCCTCCAGGTTTTATCAACTCCAAAGTACATGTGTGCTTACTGTTTGGTACTCCATTTTCAGAGTGAGTTGACATGACCTGGTGGTAACCATATGTTCTTCGTCAACTGCTCATGACATTAATGTGTATGAGTGAGACAACGGGTTATATTGTAGCCGTTTTTGCAGGCCGCTGGTGACACGTGGCTGATTGTATCAGCCTACCTGATGCACACTAGATTATCTTTATATGTAGAAACGAGTCGAAGCAATGGGGTAATTCACACCTAACCGATGAAGATAGATTTTCTGCTTCTCATTAAACCGGACTTGTTTTAGCTGATGGATGCACCATTGATAGAAATGGAATATTTTGGCTATTATTGACTAGCATCTAATAGCATGACGGCTCGTTAATGGTGCCCCTTGGATACGGATTCTTAAGTTCAGTGGGAAGAGCAAATATAAACACATAAACGACACGAGACTTGTTTGCAGATCATCATGGACAAATGAACACATCAATGCGAGGCAAGTGCTCAGTTCACATGTGAACCCACCTATGCACGTACACGAAATTGTAACTACCGGTTTGTCGTTCATCTTGTTCATATGGGTTTGCATCGGTGACATTGCACATGGTTCCGCGCAATGGTATGGTTTATCAATATCACGGAAGCCTTCCAAAATTGGTCCACTTCTGAGCGACCAAAAATAATTAATCAGCAATTCTCAAGCAGCACTGATTACCGTTCTTGTGCCAGTTATGTACCAATGTGTGCGTATGTGACCTGATAGATCATTAAGATACTGGTCGAATTAGTGTCTTAAATTCTGATTTCCCTGGTCGGCTCTGGGCCCAAATCGCGAACTCACTACGAGACGCACTCTTTTGAATGAAATAGGGTGCCGTGAACATACGGTTATTTAATGCAAAACTACATGTTTTATCTAGTCATTTGTGTGCTTGCACCTATATGCTCTGTGGCAGAGATTAGTCCGTTGCTGCTCTGTTTTCGCTGCCATTGGATTTCCACTTATGTAGAGTGCCTAAAATAGTCTTATTTTTCCCTCTGTTACAGATCGTGATTACAGTCTGATTGTCGTGCAAGAAACGGGTACAGATTAGCACATATCCGCGACATCTGGGAGGATTTCAGCTTGGTTATTGGTTCACGGGTGCTGTCTTTCGTTTATTTTTTTCTCTGTATACATACAGAACTCGAAACCAGACAAATATTCACTAATTCCCACTGGTTTCCACTGGTTAATACTTCTGCTCACCAATGATGGAATAATCTATTCCTAGTTACAGATCACACAGGACGCTTTTCCTGACCTGTTTGTTTTTCTGCACTATGTTATTCCTCTGGGGCGAAAGATGTCCAAATGAACATTCTGTGACGACCAGCCGGAATGGCTGCTCTTGTTGGTTTCAAAGGGACACAAGTTATTCTATGTGCCATACTACGCAGAAGATAAATGAGTGTCAAGCAACTGATTTCTATGAATTTGCTTATGGTTACTCCTTTTCGGATTAGGGACAAGAATGTTTCGAGGCAGCGGGAGTGTGCAGCTGGATACAGCTCTCTCGGTTCGATTTTGCCTGCCTTCAAAGAGGCCACCTAATTCTTGCGTTCAGCCTAACCCCGCTGAGCCACCTAATAGTAGATCAACCGTTTGTTTGACGGTCTCTGCGGGCGTTTTAAAAGGCGGTATTTTTATGATACCTTATCCTACTACGACCTTACAGACTTGCGAAAACGTTATCATAAATAAGGTGAGTTGAGTGTACGACTCAGAGTAAGTGAATAACCGTGCGTTGATTTTAATCGCAAACAGATACGTCATACTTTCCACGTTGCGAGCTGTTGCTCCGGGCGTGGAATCCGTTGAATTTACAATCCCTTGTAATTCATGCGGATTTCATTTCCCTTAGGCCTAAGCCAACTTGCGGCTTTTACACGGCAGGCACCCTATTATGCAAATATCAGCGTTTCCGTAGTACAGTATGATTCGTAGTGGATTGTTGCAGGACGCTGGTGCTTCCATACTGGTTTAGTGACCAACGAGTCAGATTCCGTTCACTCATGTGACTATGATTCTAATTTACTTTATGGTTGCACCTTGTATGACCGTTTCGAATGACGCATTTGCTCTCAAGCCGTTGAGATACGCTGTACCCGGTTTGTGCAAACGGCAGTTCACCAAGCAGCTCTGTCAAGTGTCCGCTTTTTCCAATATCTGAAGTTCACTTTGAAGTTTTCGAAATTATTAAAAGAAGCTTATCGTTGTGGCGGAACTTCGGCTGTTTTCAATCTTGAGCTCTATTCTTCCGTCAGCCGTAAGTGACTTGCTTTGGAATGCGGTCATCGGCCATTCGTTTTTCGTGGCCTATCCAGTATGGTTGGTCGTGCATCGGGACACTTGATTCCGTCCATCTTAGCTCGTTTAAGAGCTCCATTGCTTGGGTTTCAACCTGATCACTGAATCCTTAGTATCGTAGGTGGAATTTTTCAAGCATTTTTGTCATTTGTATACTGTCTGTTTGTGTTGTGAAGGCAACAGCTCGGGCAGTTTGATAAAAAAACATTCATTCATGTTTCGACAAAAGCGAGGCAATATCGAGGTAAATGCTGTGCTTTCCGTGCAATTCCACCCCCGATTTCACAAATAAAGCAGTCCCACAATAAGTAGTATACATTTCTGTGACTCATTGGGCTTCGCTCCCGTCATGAAGCGTTTCGAGTTGAAGTGGGCTCAGTGCACCTCTGAATTCACATTGTTTTTCGGGCATAGTTTCCTCAAGAATGTGTGCATTCAGTCGGTTCACTAGAATTTGTGCTAGGGTTTACAGTACGGGGAATATTGACTCCTCTGTCGTTATCCGTTTTCCATCGACTTCTTTTTAAACAGGGGTGCGAGTGGACTTTTGTTGGACGGTTTTATTATCCCGAAGTGTGCGCGTATTTAAGTAAGCTGATGTGTCAAATGCCATGTTATTACTTCTGGTTGGGATATTCATAGCGTTTAAACCGAGGGAGCGTTTTCTGGTCCACACTACTCACTTGTATCTTGCAGCCTGTTAACTTTTCACAGCGGAAGGCTCCGCCATAAATGATGTAGTAAATGCGTCACTCTTTAAGTTTTGCATTCGAATGTGCTCAATAGGATTGATAATCAATGAAGAAAAATACAACTTTCTAGTTTAGCTCGGTTCTCACGAGCGAACATTGGTCAAAGGTGTGCCTCACCGATTGAATCGGAGTTTTTCCTATATTTTTCTCAAACTCTGGAACGGGAAACAACTGTCGAACTGATACACTGAAGGAAATAGTTATGAAAAATGTGTAAAATTTTCTAAGTAATCATGCTCCCTAAAATTGTGTTGTCAGCGGACTCAATTGCAGTCTAGCAGTACCGGGGAGCTACTAAGGGTTTTTCAAACTAACCTCAATAGAATGCTGACGGCGAAGATATCTGGCGAACTTTGACTACGCTGTAAGGCAGGGCGTATATATTTGTTTTCTAGTGGAGCCCGACAAAGATTTGATGCGTCTTCATGACGACGCGATTAGTACATCAAAGTTAACTGAGTCCCGTAACCACACTGTATTTGTAGGGGAATCAATTCATCCTTTGGAAACGAATTTCAATCCGTAATGGTTTTGGAAGAAACACCAAATTACCCATAGGTTCTGAAACTCCTGCCTTTATTTGTCAGGATGTGCGTGCGGAACTGGCCGAAACTTTTTGTGACGACAGATATTCTGGCGTACCCTCTGAGTGGAACTTTGTTACACTTGTACAAAGAAAAGAGACGGTGAATAAAGGGGGCAATGAATAATGGATAAAAAATGGGCTGAACATGACAATCTACCATTCTTTTGCTGGACATTGCCAGCTCTAGGTGTTTTACTGAACCTTCGTCGCACGTAGGCCATCGTCGATACTATGCTATCTTAACTTGACGTTTCTACGTATTTGGCACTGCGGACAAATAAGGTGTCGTATAACCACCAACGCCTTCTTTCGATACCCTCTTGCTATGTAACTTCACCATCATCAAGTACTGATCATCAGCTTGTTAGCTTTAAGCGCGACTATCGTTGCCATGCTGTCGCCCACCAACGATGGACACGTAAGTAGTTCTGTGTGTTTGAGCATTAATCGATTGGTGGTCGCCTAAGGATTCATGGATTTTGTGTTTGGCGTGGTAGTCTGGAGGTCGTGGCTGTGTATTTGACGAAACAGTTCAGAATCGTCGGGTATGCAGCGCGACTGAGTCAGTTCTCAAGCGCGAAGACTACAATTGCTAACGAAACTGTTTGCTAGATGCGGTTTTCATGCTTTGCAACCAGGCCAGTACCTGATTTCCCATTGATTACTTCTATCTAACCATGGTTGAACGAAAACGTCTTCACTGTCATAAGTTCCTACATTTCTGATAAATAAACAAGCGTTTCTACCACTGGACTGGAACTTGTGTTGCCATCTAGTAAGTGGGTGCAACCCTATCCATCGGTTCTAGTACCGCCCGGAGCGTTTACCGAAAGGAGAGGCTTTCATAAAGGAAACTACTCATACGTTTTCTGAAGGCTCTTCGACATTCCACGACCGGTTTCGCCATTCTTGCGTTCCACTTGAACCCGAATTGGACAGACCTCCGCAACTACACTCATTTGCATATCACCTGGGTTTTCACGGGAGACAACTAAATCTCTCGTTTATGATATGGAGGATATCATGTGATGAGTGTAATTGTCGAAAATAGGCTTTGTTCTTCGTTCTCAGGGTTACCATCATGTAATGTAATGTCACCCTACCCCCACTAGCTCGTGATTACTGCGTGCGGAGCAGTATCGAAGGAACAATGCGCCCTTTCACTTCAAAAAGATGGCTTCGTGTGGGGAGATATAGAGAACCATTGTCTTACAACTACCATATAAAGAAGCTGACTTAAAGATGTGGTTAGCCCACTTTTGGTTGGTTCTCTGAGTGTGACTCATTGTTAGGCGGACGTCGCTTGTGTACTGACCCCAGGACGGACGCCAAATCGACCGCATCATTGTGCGGCAAAGGTATCAATGATCTACTGTTCGCAAAAGTGATATGTGGAGCCAAATGCAATGCGTGCTAGCGTGCACGTCGCATTTAAAAAACTGCATTCAAATCCGGGACGCTTTACTGCTCCGTCTTTCATTCCATCATCTTCATTCGGCAATCATTGTTTTTTACTAGTCGGAATTGTCAAAAGTTGGAACCGACCCTATAGGGTGAGCATTAACTGTTCTGAACTAAGACCACATAGTCCCACCGTACCGAAGCTAGGGGACGGAAGTCAGTTTGTGAGTGAACTTAGAGGATAGACAGCCGGCTATGGATATCAGGGTCGGGACATTCAGAAGTGACAAAACTACAGACTGGAATGCAGATTTCTTTAAAAAAGGGTGTCGGCTATGTCGAGAACTCTGGCATGGCACCGAAAACAGTAAGCAAAAGCCAGATTTTTTTCAACGGTTCGGGGCAGCATTCGCAGCTCTTTGGTACGAGTTTTACAACACGGATCAGACTCCGTAGGTGACCCACCAAACTAGGTGCTAGTGATACCTTCCAGGGTGGCGACCAAGCGCTTGCAAGCCGATTGCCATGCACAGCTGGTAGATCAATACCCCCTGACGAACTGCCAACCAACGTAGCCAAACTACCAATATTTTAACATACTGCCAAGAGGCATAACTCAAGTCGATTTAACTGATTACGACTTGTCAAAGCCCAGCAATGTTGGTAAATTTCTTACTGGCTATCAGTCTAATGGGATATAATACAATAGTTAACTTCCTATCAGGACAAACAGGTATAGGAATCAAGTCTACACAAGATAACCAAACCTCCTCATGGCCGTACAAGCATTTTCAAAGCTGAATACGTTAGCGGTAAAAACGCTTCGGCCGTCATTATTTATACAGACACAGAGCCACCCTTCACAAATCTAATACAGCAAGCAAAGTAGTCCGATGACGTTTTGCATATCGCGAAGGCCAATATCTGAATGGTGAGCACGCGACAGCCCAAAAAGGGTTTTTAAGCAGAATAACCATGCCCACTTATCACAAATCCGTATGGTGGTATATGCATGTCTACCGACTACATGGTTACATCGCACCCCCGAGAAACGCCAAACTACACCTATGCATAAAAGTGAACAGAGCACATAACGGGAACAGCGCAGGTTTATCTTTTTTTTTTCAAAAACCAGTCCAATGATGCAAAAATTGTCTTGTGACGTCAGTGGAAGGGAACTTCAATCCAGAAAATAAGCTATCGTGATTGTGTTGGTTAATTTGGGATAAAAGCGGTCAGCANTCACCAATAATAAATCGAACTACTAAATAGCATCCCATTTGTATGGATGTGTTGGGGTTGTTCAATAAAATTTTGACAACTTTGCGCCTAGGTGGTAAAAGTAATAAAAAAACCTTAAAAGAAAAGTCGAGTCACATAAAAAACTAGTGTCTGGTCTGAAATGCATCTGGGAAATAGAAAAATATTTCGAAGGGAAAAATCTGAGTTTGGGTGGAACACAACTAACTGATCAAGAGTCGTCCGCGACTGTGACTGTAGGATGCAAAGAGCTTGCGTTAGACTGCCTTGCATGCCATTGGTTGCCTTCAGTATCTGAGTTTTGTGTTGCAGCCCAGCTAGCTGCCCGATAGTACATGGCCTGAGCGAAAGGTGGAAGGGAAGCGAACATTTGTGCTGAAGCGGCAGCGGCAACAGCTGGTATCGTGTGTGGTTTGTTCCGTTGTCCCCACAACGTATCTGAGCTCTGCGATGTGCACTGTGTGTCTGATGCTAGGCTAAAACAATGTGATTGCGTGGCATTCATTTGAACAAGACGAGACGCGCAAGAACTCTGTGCATAGACGTTTGGAGCATTTTCGGATGCAGTGCTCAGGTTACTAATAAGTACACTAGGAGTGTTGGGCAGTACGGCGCTCGGATTAGGCTGAAAGAAAACCAAAGAGATCAAGAAATACATCATTATTCAAAGTATTCAAATGTGCTAATCCGCTCATGACTAGATTAGAATGAAATCACTGGCATCTGTTGCTTCAGTCCCGGAAAATAAAATTTAAAAAAATTCAGATAATTTAATTCAACGTGTCCTTGCCAGTTAGTACAACAAAAGCTTCGGAAGATGGGTAAAGCGAGTAAAAGTTGCTGAAAGATTTCAGAGTACTCTTTTTTCATTTGAGTTTATTTGAAATCCTACTCAGTTTCCAATTCTACGGACTTACCGGTGCGACTCATCATGACATAAGATAAGATACTGTGGTAAATGCACACCGAAGTCTGCGGACGAGGGTACTGACTAAAAAAAGTAGGAACCCCACTAGGCTCTTCAACTTTGTTAAACTCGGCCTCAGGATAGGGAGTTGAATTAGGGGAAGAAGCGATGTTCTTACGTTTCGGTCATGGAAAAAGGGCGTCTTTGGTAGCCATTATCAATAGCAAACACTCGGACCAAAGTAAACGTACATTGGCACCGAGCACCGTAAATCACCCGAAAAACGCGTGACATTTTACGAATTCGAGGGTTTCCCGGCATGCATGTCGCCAAATAACTGTAACCAAGCAAGCGAACGATGCTGGTTTCGTAAAGGGTTGGCTTAGCTACAGAAGCGCCATTCTTGGGGCGAGGGGCGGGACACTCACTCCCTTGAGATGTGCAAACAGGTGGGGGCGATTTCGTTCCTTTTAGCAGCACTGTACAACTAACACCTAACAAGGTGTCGATCAGGAACACTGTGTGAAAACATACTCATTCGGCACACGGGGATAGACTAGTCATCTACTTCAATCATGCACACCGCGTGTGCGGGATAAATCAGTCACTGCGTGTTGTTCAGGTTAAAAGGGTGGACCCTGCAGTGAAACACTGAATGGCCCATTCTCCCACATGCACTTGACAAGCTCTTATCACGAAAACGTAGGTGACCGTGTTTCAGGACGCCACAATGGACCTCTGTTATATGGGTAGAAGTCCCCTTTGGCGAAATGCGAATGTCGGCGTTTGAAAATGTCAGGTAATGACAAACTCAACAATGTTCGGGTTTCAGTGTGTTCAACTGGCCAACCAATCGATGTTGGGTGCAGTGTCTAGTCCACACGTTGCTTGCGAATATACAACCGAATGAACGTTTGCTAAAATGGGTGCCGTTAGTAATAATGAGGATTACAGGCCGGTACCAGCCAACAAGCAACTGTATATATGACTTATACAAATATACAGTTCCACTGATTGCTAGCCCTTGGCGAGATGGCCCAAGTGGTTACTGACCGGAAGGTCCGTGATTCGAACTCGACCTCCGCCTCTCGACTCCCCCTGTCTAGGCCTGGGCGACCTGGCAGTGTCCCAGCCCTCGTGCAACCTTTGGGTGGCATGGCAGTTAGGCACCGAAAGGGTGCTACAGCTGAACGTACAACCCTTGATGAAGAGTAATCACAGAACCTATCGTGTCAATCAATTAAGTTGTTCAGTCACACGCTGCTTGCCAAAGTGCAATTTTTCTGGATGAGCACGCAATAACCCAACGTGGAACAACTTAGCAAAGGGACTGAAAGAATGAAAGTCGAATCAAGATTAAGACAGTGGCACACTGAAAACAAAAGCTGACAGAACTTTTAACCACCGATGTCTGTGTATCGTCCTGGGGCAACCACAACAGTTCAAACAAGTTCGAACATAGGATAGTAGTGTTTGTAAAAGAAAAATCACATAAATTTTGATAGGGGATCGGGTAATACTTACAATCAGCTGAAAGTCAGATGGTTTATGCGCATTACTACCAAAAAGCCGGATGCTAGCAAAACTTGGGGGAAATGAGAGGCCTTGAGCTACGATAACCAGGAACAGAAGAAAGGACAGGAAAGAGGCGTTGTAGGCTGGCTCACCTGAGACCACCAACTCATATAGTTTACTGGAGCAAGAAGGCTGGCAGCCATCGCTGCAGACCACGCTGACGGTGGAGACATTTGTTGGTGTTCGTGAGTGGAACCCTGGCCGAGAAGCTGGGGGTATCGAGGGTGTTGATTTGTTTCGACTGAAACATAGGCTGACAGCGGAAAGAAGTTTGATTGAAGGGTTGGACAAGGAGGGTACTGTAGCGCTTTGAAAGTTGCGTCAAACGCTTGGTGTTGCTGTGAACTGACGTCAGCTGAAAGGTTTTGCAAACGGTCGTTAGAGGGCAGGTTATATTCTATGGACAAATTTGAAACATTTGGGACAGCTGGAGATGAGCAAACGGGGACACATTGTGAATCGACGTTGGCTGGAAATGAACTTATGTCCAATTTTTTCCTTTGGGCGTCATCTCGATTGGTTGTGAGCTTCATTTCTGACTTCGTCCCTAGTTTAGAACGGAATGAGTAGGAAGGGTAATGAAGTAACGAGCGTACACCTCAAAAAGACGAAGCGGCAGTAAAGTTTGTGGAATACAATGTGGAAACTAAACCGGGTGATTTAATTGAAAATTGATGACGTTATCCACTAGGCCACAAGGACCTAAGTATTCTTGACAGTGCACAGTTTGTACAACCGAACTAACGCTACTTGCGCTAGTCAGTCCGAGGACAGTGCAATACATAGTACTCCAAAAGAAGCAAATTAATGAGCCAGCAATCTTGCATTGCGAGGGGCAGATTGCCCATTCTTCACCAAAGCCGAGCAGTGAATTCTTGGTTTACTCTTAAAATACAGTATGAAACTAGCCTCCCATAGTATGCCCAAACATAAACCATTGCCAATTTCATGGTGGCTACGTTAACCCCCTATTCGCCCACTAAAAAGGGGGGGGGTTAAGTCTTCATTTTCTTTTCTTTCCTGGTAGAGACTGAAGTGCCCGTTTGGTACCGAGGAGCTATTCTACTATTGCCTGTTATGATCGTTTGCCTCCAAAAGCCTTAACCTCTTCAAATGTCTTGAACGATGGACAAACTTCTCTCTAAGCGACTTTAGTGAACCGGAATATCCTGGGCCGATTGTAGAATAAAACCTCACAGCCTAAAGGTCCGCCTCGTGGACAGACAATCAAATCGACCCAAAATATTCAACGCGAATCGGCACTGAAGCCTTCCCTTCGCCTAACTTTTAATCCGTGTGGAGGTGGTCGTTCGACGTTCATCCTCGAACCACTTTCGTATATTCATCGGATAATCGGTTTTTTTATGTGTATGATTCTTCAGTGTCTCCTTAGTTCACCGACTTTCAGGGAAATTTGATGCCTGTAGACGTCTTCGACCGGCATTTAAAAAGAGAACAAGCTACTTTAAAACCGGCTTCAAGCAATCACAATACAAGCGGAACATACTAGTAATTCGACGGTTTTGATTTGTAGTTGCGACTGATTCAATTCATCACATATAAACCGTGTACCATAGGCACATTGGTCTCAGCTACTACGATTCCGATCACAGAAAAAATGGGAGTGTGGGACCGAAGTGTTATTTATTTTTTCAAATATCATCAGCTTAATGTTCACTGAATGACGGAAACATACAAGCTCTGAAGGTCTCTTATTCCTGACAACTGGCATCAGGCTACGACAGTGCCAAATGGGTCGGGTGTTCGCTAATGTTTCGTAGACTGGTCTCGAAAACTCATCAGATCGCGTAGCTCTGAAGAAAAATAGCCACGTTTTCGAAAACGTTGACTCCTACCCAGAGACAAACCTGTCAGAAATCGACGAAAGGAAATTCCCTAAAACTTTTGGATACAAACAATGACTGGTGATGCTTGATAGACTGTTCCTATGATACTTTTTCAACTTGGTCAACTTATTTAACGGCCCAGATAATCGGCACTTGAAATCCAAGACGAAAACCATAGTTACAACCATAATGACGCTGACGCCGTGTGTGGACAAACCGCGACAGTTTGCATTGAAAAGACAGTCTGAAACTTGTGGATCCCGAGGCCAACACTACATGGTGTTGAAAATAAAAACGATATCGTATATGTTTTTAAGAATTCTCCCCTGGTCTTCCAAATTAGTTTGTCCTTTGGTTTCTCACACCTTTGCAATCTTAACTGTCTTTTATGTTTGTGAAATGGCATCAAGGTTCAGATGAAGTGAAAAGATAAATCATGCACTTACTGATAACGTTAGGGCATAGATCGTCCAAACCGGAATTCGGTATAGCTGATATGAACGTGCTTGTCCCGGGATCTCCAGCACAGTTGTTGTATATCGTTCCAATTGCAAGACGGTTATTGACTGGAGTGAAGGCACTCTTGCTTTCTGAAATAACTGTCGTGCTCAGTGAAAAGTTTGTGGTGGTTTGGGATAGATTTTGAACGACGGATTGATTACCGTTTGACTGTAACTTGATTTTATGTATTCCACGTAAGTGCCGATTGAGATGGGATCGCATAACAAATAATTCCGGACAGACGGGACAAGAAAAGGTAATATCGCGATTGTGATGACGAACATGTTCTTGAAGTTTGTCCCTGTTGGAAAAATAAAAATAAGGTTTTATCCGAAAAAAGTCAGTAGATGGGTTTACCAAAATCGATGGCCGCGAGGTTACTGCTACCAAAAAACTGGCATGCGACAGTAAAAGATTTTGGAATCCACTGGGATACGCTCCTCTCAGGAGCATTATGAACCACTCATAGCAGCCTTATCCAGGAATCCGAGCTTCTTAGTCAATGTTACAACTGTATCGCTGTCCAACAACCACCAACACAGTCAACCGGTACGTTTCCCGAGTTATCTGCCGCATCGAACCATGCCCCTAACGATTTCAGTACAACTTCCTATCACCAGGATTGTTCATAGTGCGTTATTGCAGACTGTTTTGCTTGATTAGTGGCTGTCCTCTTAGCATTTCCTCTTCCGTTAGTTAAAACGTCGTACTGAACGCACTGTAGCATTGCATACCCCGCTTTTGGCACACAAACGGACATCACGTCACGACCACCAAAGCTGTCAGAGATCGACAAAGATTCGGGAAGTCATGTCATTTGGATGCCCATCGGCACACATGCAACCGCCCGGGTAAGTGGACCCGCCTACCGAATCCAGTGGTTTATACGCAAGCATGAGGTTTCCGTTTGGTCGCATTCAGTCCTGCAGTAGCACCTCATGTTTTGACGTGTGAAGTGTTTGTCGAAACGTGAGCATAAACTAACTGAATCATTTGAAAACAGGCCTTCGACAGTCAACGCCCATCTCAGACCCTTGAATTTCAAGTTCAAACGTCAGTGGTTTCACCGGTTTGCCCTTCATTAAAAACCGGAAAAATCGCCACCAGTCTACCACAAGAAAAGACCAGTACTCGGATTAAGATACCTTTATATTTTGATAGTTCGCAAAAAGGTGTTTCTAAGTGACATTCTGAGGAATTCGTTCCACATTACAACATAGAACGGAAACTGGTGTTTATGTGGAACGATTATGTACAGTAAGCATTCTGACGAATACCACGTTTCCAAAGAAAAAGCGCACGAATAGCAGCATTGTGATTAT